CAGAGTGTCATTTCTTCAGTGTTGTTACATGAAAAGATGTAATAAAATATTTACAAAAATGTGAGGGATGTTCTCACTTTTGTGAGATACTGTATATCAGAGTACCTTTGACGTAAAAAGAATTGGAAACTGTAGATATCTCAGTTTAATAACATTTTCTGTGTGTTGTATGCATACAGCTTTACATCTCCTATTCATTAAAAGTCCCTGAATTTGCTTAGATATGTTTTCAGGGAACCCAAGGAGAACAATATAAGCCTGTGCGTCACATGAACAATCAGACAAACGATTGTGACATAGATGGTTTCCCTTACTATGCACTTTTAGATAAACCGTGATTCTGTAATCTGACAGTTCAATCCAAGAGAAAGGGTCAGATGAATATTTGGTCTCTACTGCCTCCTAGTGGATAACGGCTAAACTCACAGGTCCTTAACAGGAAACAAGCGATGTCAAGATCTTCCATCCTAAATCAAAAAATATTACTACCTGTCCTTTATCTGGAGAAAGGCGATTACCCACAGTGAGACTGCCACCTAGAACACAATAGGTTGGTAGGAAATGGAGCTTCTTTGCACCATTCTGCCCAAAAAAACGAAACCATATTCCATTAATGAATTTTATTAGCAGATGGCTTTGTAAATTGAAAGGTTTTTATGGAGAACAGTGAGAGACAGCAATACATAATCTCAGTTTAACAGCAACCAAAACAGTCAGTGTATTTTCCTTGGTCTCTTAGAATAATGGATGGCTTACCACAATCCAAGCAACTGAAGAAAGGAAAAAATTACTTGCAAGTGGAGCGACACATTGATTATCTAGATAAGTCACAGGTTGGGTGCATGCAGAGAATTGGCAGATTCACCATGGTTTCTAGACACCACCTTTTTATGCCGTTGGGCAATGCAGAAAAAGTGATACACAAAATACATATAAGAGAGAGCCAGGTACAATACAAAAATGGGTCGCAAGAGAATACTGAGAACGGGCAGCAGCTGAAATAGCCTGCCCTTCGGTCGGTCCCCGCTCAGAACTCAAGCTGGTTTCAGCTCAACTTGTGCCATTACAGAGAGAACATATCTGAAGCATATCAGACTGGTCCCACCCATACGGGAAGTCCAGATCCAAAATGCCAGCAAGTTCTCTCTGCACGAGAGATACAGCAACCCCAGACGATCGTTTCAGCCTTGTTAGGCATCATCAGTGAGGCATAGGTGATATCTCCCTAGGCACCGTGAGCAAGGGGTCCACGTCTGGATTATCCCTTTATACTTGTGGAGAGTCAAAAATGGGTCGCAAGAGAATACTGAGAACGGGCAGCAGCTGAAATAGCCTGCCCTTCGGTCGGTCCCCGCTCAGAACTCAAGCTGGTTTTTGCTCATCTTGTGCCATTACAGAGAGAACATATCTGAAGCATATCAGACTGGTCCCACCCATACGGGAAGTCCAGATCCGAAATGCCAGCAAGTTCTCTCTGCACGAGAGATACAGCAACCCCAGACGATCGTTTCAGCCTTGTTACGCATCATCAGTAATGTAATGGCACAATATGAGCAAAAATCAGCTTGAGAACTGAGCGGGGACCGACCGAAGGGCAGGCTATTTCAGCTGTTGCCTGTTCTCAGTATTCTCTTGCGACCCATTTTTGACTCTCCAGGTACAATACAAAGATCACAGTACAATACAACTACAATTCCTATAGACTGTAAGCTCGTTTGAGCAGGGCCCTCTTCAACCTATCGTTCCTGTAAGTTTTCTTGTAATTGTCTGATTTATAGTTAAATCCCCCCCCCCCTTATAATATTGTAAAGCGCTACGGAATCTGATGGCGCTATATAAATGGCAATAATAATAATACAGAGATGAGCATTATACAGAGTTGGACATACAATGCTCACAGCAACCATAGAACAGGCAGAACTGTGTAATATACTTTGATACAACAAACAGAGCGTGGCACAATAAGGATTTGATCATAACTATCCCACGCAGCCAGGATCACTGTGATGGATTACACAGAGCTGCAATACAGAGATACCCACACAGTGAAATGTCTATGTATAATCAGGGCCATATTATCATAGGAGCTGAAGCTCCAGGCCAATGCCTGTGGAATAGGCCCATTGATTTAAACCTCTTGCTTACTTATGGAAACTTAAGAGGGATGTAGGGAACACAACTTGTGTGCAAAGAAATTAGTTAAGATAAAGCAGACTATGGAAATGCTCTTGCTTCTTCAGTCTCTTTAACACTGTGGCATATTTCCTTCCTTCTACGCTCACTACATACACTTTTTTTTCTCTCCCAGACGGTATAACAGGAGCTTCAGCCTGCTAGTAAGGTTAAGAGAGGGGTGGACCAGCGAGTGCTAGGGGAAATTCCTTAGAAAGCGTAGAGATAGCACATCATTAGACACATTTAAGACAAGCTATGGGTACTGTCTGCATAGTATGTCCTTGGTAGCTCATCCTGCATGATTGGCAAGCAGCCTGACCAACTTTTTCTTTGTGCAGACACGCACCTTTATTGGGCATGTTTGTCCCTTTGGGCGGTTCTGGTTACGTGATTCAAATCAGTGGCCCACACTTTTACCCTGCACACCGACATTCTGCTTCACCGGACACTGATGTTATGGGGGTATGGATTTACTTGAAAGATGAAAGCGAGAGATTAGCATAGGGCATGTGTTTTTTGATAGCTATATCCTGTGAGTTTCCCTCCAGCACCACCTCCACCAGATACATGACGCTTCGGAGGCATGACTGTTTGTGTTTTCTGTTAAGATTCTGTAATAAGGCCCATCATAATTGTCAGCACCAGGCCCAATGGGCCATTAATCTGGCTGTGTGTATAATGCTCCAGCTCTGTCACCTGCTATGACAACTGTAGCTTTCTAGTGAATGTTGCTGTTCTAAGGCATGGGGGGCTACTCCTGACTCATACTAGTTCTGATCACAGAACAGTAGGATACTGATAGACCTCTAATTACACAATTTGGAGCCAAGTAGTTAACATGATTAAAAGGTTACTCCATCCAGTGGTTATGATGGTAGGAGTCTGGAAGCGCAGTATTTGTTTGAAACACAGTACATTCAGAGTTCATGGCAATTGTGTGCTGTTGGCAAATTGCACCATGAGCACGCAGGACTATTAATTTGCTCTCTTTGGTATTCTCTTCCAGGCTACCAACGGTCAAAGCTGTTCATATTTTATACCTGTAGTCAACGCGCATTGCACGCTGCCAACAGACATAATTTGCTTCTCCGAAGCCTGCTTTTACCATCCCTCCTGCCTATCCAGGGCTGTTTTTGGCGCAGGGGAAGCTGCATTTATTCCTGGGGGGAAGAGAACAGCTGCCACATTTGACACCAGCTGATCGGAAAAATTTATTATGGACAGTAGACTCATCAGTTGATCCATGCACTTAGGGTCACCCGAAGGTAATGTGTTCAGGGGTCCCTGTGATGTCACCGCTGGGAGGTAGTAACGGCCCGACACTTCCTTCCAACTAACACTGAGCAGAAGTGAGGAGGAGAGAGGGAAGTGCAGAGTGAGAACCTCTGACTCCGAACAGCGTTAACGAGCCACTGGACCACAGGGCAACCACCCTCCTGCACCTTAAAAGGTAGGAAACAGGAGTGGCAAAAAAAAAAAAGTACTTTTTGCACGTGTCTGTGTGTATTCATGGCAAGCTTGTGTCAGTGTATCTGCATGTACAGATGATCTTCACTTACTGACCGGGTTCCGTTCTTACGACTCGGTCGTGAAACAAATTGGTTGGTGAGGATGCGCTAGAGAACAGGTCTATATTGTTAGTCCACAAAATTTAACACTGCTCATGTGATGTAGAAAGGGGCGCGGTGCCCGCTTTGCCCAGTACTGGGTGTAGGAGAGTAAAACATTTTAAAATATATTTAAATGCATGTCTCCATTTATTGGGCAGCTGGCTCTGCTGCACAAATGGCAACTCAATGGGAGACCCATGAAATTCATTCTTAAAAGAGACTAAACCCGTTATAAAACCAGACATACATCAAATCTGTCCCATTTTTAACGTTCTTTGCTGCTCTCAAGAAATCTTCTCCAGACAGCCACCAATGAGGGAGTGGGAGGAGCCCTGCACAACTGAAACCTATTACAACAACATTTTTTTGTACTCTATTTTTGTAGTGCATAAAGATGTAACAGAGCGTATGTGGTACCCCAACAGCATGCCACAAGCTTTTTTTTTTTTTTTGGACACACAAATAGGCAATGGCTGACGTATGTTAATCTACTATGCTCCCATATTTTAGCTTACCTCCCTCTCCCAGTAAAAAATAAAAAAAGAAAGAATCTTAGTATTAATTTCACATTGTGCATTCTTAATTTGCTGATGAATACAAATTGTATTAAATCTGCTTTATGATGTGTAAGATATATAAAGCAACCAACACAAAACCAGATGCTGTACTCTTTGTAATAAACCTTGCAAGCTACACATGATTGGATATTATGTGTAAGGAGATTGCTGTGGGACGTATAAAAGATTAACAGTGACATCTTTAAATGGGTGAGGAACAGAAAGCTATCCCTTTCAAACACTACTGAAGCATTTATTGGGGCAAGGAGTGCAATGTAGCTCAGCAACACTTTAGTGTGTGAGAACATGATACCCAAGGCACAATCAAGCATCTGCAAGGAAACAGCTATTCAAGACAATGAGAATGTCTTCTATGCAGACCTACGTTATGGAGATGTTTTTTTTAAATACATCTAAAGCACAACCCATAATCTTTCAATCAGCTATTTAGCTGTGCCAACTCTAGATAAACGAGAGTAACGCTATGCAGGTTCTGAAGATGGATTCTCATTCACTGACTATTTATGTGTAATGTTACATGACCAGAGTGATTCCTACTTGTTAAAATTGAAGGGCAGTGACTGGCTGATATTACCAGTGTTAGCTCTGATTTTGGATTGAAAACAAGATAAAACCACAGAAAAAGAAAACACACGCATTGACTGGTCTATGAATGTTGTATTACCTTTAATGTATTTAGCATTTAACAGAAATCGGGTTAAAAATGCATATTGTAGCTTCCCCTTTTCCCTCAGACACTTGGTAAACATTTTCTGTGGGTTGTAAGAGTAAAGAGCTTTATCAGCTATAATAACCGATGTCTGCAAGCTCTTTGCACAGAGAAATGGGGAAATGTTAAGCCAAAGAACTCCTTTCCAAGTTTGGAAATCATTCTTTACATTATAGAGGGTTGCAATCCCATTGCTGCCAGTGGATGCCCTGTGTATTTCCTCACAATGAGCTGGTAAAATATGAACAGGTGAAAAGGCCGGTTAATTGGCTTTGGCGCGGAGCTGAGCTCTCTTGCCGGTGACGGCCTGGAAACCGGTTTTAATGCTTGCCACAGAACAGCGGGAGTGGCAAGTCTCACACTGTAGGAAATATAATCTTGTGTCTTTTTGTAAAATTGTATCTGGCGATCGACAGGTGTGACATGTCACGTACTCCTCTGCAAAACAGAATAAGAAGGTCTATTTAAAAACAATGCAACTATGCTTATAGCATGTTTAACAGAATACAAAAACAAAATACATGACCCGCATGATATACAAAACCCACAAAATTCCTTTCCTGACACTTGCCATTAAGGTCAACAAGGGAATCTGTCATATTTTAGAGTCATAAGAATAATAAAGTGTGGCACAGTGAGTAGGTGCTTACTTGTGGCTCTAGCAGAGAGGGTTTTTAATTGGGAAGCCTCTGATTGATGTATTCCAAGGAAAAAAAGTGGAAGGCTTGCAAAGGCTGCAAACAGCAGATCTGCAGCTTTTGCAAGCTGTGTTTAAATATATTCCAAAGAAATAAAATGCATGGTCTCTCTGGTGCTATATCTACTAAACGGTTAAAAACTTTTCAATGGATTGTTCCTTTAAGAAACTTAAACATTGACCTAAAACTAAAACAGCAAGTACAGTATATGAAAAAGGTATACTTCTAAATTCCACAGGACATTGTCACTCAGTTACACTATTTGTATGAACGCAAAGGAAACAACTCCCAGTCTGCTTATATCCTAAAACAGCAACCCCCACACTCGTTTTTGATGAGATACCATATGTTTTCAATAAACACAATTGTCATGTTCTTAAGGACATACTCTGCCGCACTATTATTAGAGAAACTATAATGTTTTCAAAAATCAAGTTTATATCTATTGGGATTTTTTTAACCCCTTAAGGACCAAACTTCTGGAATAAAAGGGAATCATGACATGTCACGTCATGTGTCCTTAAAGGACCACTCTAGGCACCCAGACCACTTCAGCTTAATGAAGTGGTCTGGGTGCCAGGTCCAGCTAGGGTTAACCCATTTTTTCATAATTATAGCAGTTTCAGAGAAACTGCTATAATTATGAATGGGTTAAGCCTTCCCCCTAATCCTCTAGTGGCTGTCTCATTGACAGCCACTAGAGGCGCTTGCGTGCTTCTCACTGTGATTTTCACAGTGAGAGCACGCCAGCGTCCATAGGAAAGCATTGTAAATGCTTTCCTATGCGACGGGCTGAATGCGCGCGCAGCTCTTGCCGCGCGTGCGCATTCAGCCGGCGGGGCGGAGAGGAGGAGGAGAGAAGGAGGAGAGCTCTCCGCCCAGCGCTGGAAAAAGGTAAGTTTAAACTCCTTTCCCCTTTCCAGAGCCGGGCGGGAGGGGGTCCCTGAGGGTGGGGGCACCCTCAGGGCACTATAGTGCCAGGAAAACGAGTTTGTTTTCCTGGCACTATAGTGGTCCTTTAAGGGGTTAAGAAACAACTATCAAGAAAACCATCTCCCACATCTCTCTTATGGCGTACAAGATCATTTAAAATATGCTAAATTAATGAAGACAAGGGAAAACAGCAGTTTATATACAATCAAATCACGTCCTACAAGCAACAACTTCATTATCCTACAATGGATTTACTCGGTACGAGGAGAGACTTACTGATATATCGTCGCAATACATTCTCTATTTGCTTCTGTTGGAATCTGCCTTTGATTACCAATTGGTTGTTGCCATCTATAGAGCCACTGGACAGATACAAGAGAAGCAGTTAGTGCATCGGAAATTAGAAAGGCAGGCATGGCCTCTGCATTATTCAACGTTATCTGTCTAGGGAGATCAGCAGGCCCAGTGAATTTACAACATTTCTGTAATAGCTTTCTAGGGGGCATCCGTTGATTTATATTTACATGAAGGCGATCTGGTTTCATTGTGCATAACACAATATCCATACTTTGCTAGGGAAATCACAAGTAGCTATGCAGTATAAACGTTATTTCACAATTCATTATTTTCATCTTTCTGGCCTGTACAGCTATGGGTACCCGCATATTAGGAATAGTAGACTGTCAGTCTTTTGGAGGTTCTGCGTACACTTGAGCAGCATCTTCCCAAGTGTAGGGATTTTTCATTCCTTATTATCGATATAAAATTTAAGTCAAATGTAAAGCCACGAAGACAAACAGAAGTGACAAAATAAATACATTTTTCTTTAAAAACTACTAGGCCGTACTACATGAAAATAGAACACGTTGATTGCAAACAAAATAACATACTTTAAACTGCTTAGTGAATAATACATTTGTGTAAGTAATCAGTTACAAGAACGAATGCTCAAGATACACTTACCTTGTACCCAACTCCGCTAATAGGAAAGCCAGAAGATGTTTTGGCTGACGATGTAATCTAGGGGTGGGAGGGATTAAATAAATAAATTTTAAGAACAAAACAAACAAAAACATATGCCATATAAAGAGTCAGAGACATCTGCTGTATCATTTATGCAAAAAAAAACAAACAAAAAAAAAAAACACACACTTCCAAGTGCAGATGAGAAAAAAAGAAATAGGCAAGGAATGTCAAAGTAGGCTGTCTCATTGCTCCAAGGGAGTATTGACAATATGGGTGGCTGGGCAGAAAAATGTCAGATGACACACAATAAGTATATCAACTGACCAAAAGGATTTAGAAATATATTTTTAGACAAGAGAGACTTGGCTTAGAAATCCCAGTGAAAAGGTGCTATAGATATATTTGTAAGAACCCTGAAATCATTGCAGCTTAGTGAAAGTGGCAACAAAAATGCAAAATGAACGTCTGCATTTGAGCATAATGCCAACATATAATAAATACAGTTAAAGTATTGCTTTAAAAAAAATAAAATAAAAAAAAGGTTATTAAAACTAGCAATCTTTATCAAACTGTGGAAAGGCAATATAATCCGAAAAGCAAAATGTAAAGTCAAATTACTCCTCCCCCCTTCTTGAGGAATCATGAGACCCATTGAAACTTCCTTTATTATTTGGAAGCTGGCATTTACAGCAAACCCGAGGAATTAAATCGGTGACCAGTGGCTTTAGGCAGAGAAAAAATAAAAACCACTACAACTACAACACTGGTTCCCAAACCAGTCATCATAACTTAACAGTCCAGGTTCATCACTATCTCAACAAACTCTAGACTGTCAATGGGTCATGGGGACTGGTGTACAACTGCCTCACAGGCTGGTAATCATTCCTAGAGCACCTTTGAGGGTAAATGAGGCTTTATGGACTACATTTCATTCTGCAAAATACATCAAAGTCTAAACAAACATTTATACTGTACTCTGGTAGTGAAATGGTTAAGGGCAGTATTTCCTTTGACAGCCCCTATGTAGCAAAACAGACCCCTCCACTTTCCATACCCTTTTATAGGACTGGTCATTTTAGGATGATCAACCAGCAAAAAGAACGGCCCCTGCCTGCCAGCAGCCTCCCAAGAAAGCTGAAAAATTAACCAAGGATATATAATAACCTACATAAATATTAACATCTGCTTTTGAGTCAAGAAGGAATTTAATTCTGTAGGTAGCTGGCAATATAGGAAATCACTATAATTTGCACTTTATAATTTGTATCAATAGTTGCTAAATACTTATGTGTTAAAAGAACACTACATGGTCAGAAAAACATGTATTCTTGACCCTATAGTTTTAAAACTACCATCTAGCCCCCCCCTATAGTAACATAATACTTGCCTGCAGCTGCTGGCTCTGCCCCTGCTCTGTCTGCCTCAGACCACCACTTCTAATGATGTCAACAATCACAAATCGTCCCCATAGGATTGGCTAAGACTGTCAAGGAGGCACAAGCCAAACATAGCCCGGCCAATCAGCATCTCCTAATAGAGACTCATTATATTAAGGCATCTCTATGAGGAAAGTTCAGTGTCCGCATACAGAGGGTGGAGATTCTGGACGGCAGTGCTGCACAGTATGCAGCACTGCCCTAGAAAGCACCTCTAGCAGCCATCTAAGGAGTGGCCAGTGCAGTTACCTCTAGGCAGTAATGTAAACACTACATTTTCTCTGAAAATACATTGTTTACAGCAAAAAGCCTGAAGGGAATAATAATACTCACCAGAACAAATACAATAAGCTATAGTTGTTCTGCTGACTATGGTGTTACTTTAAACTTGAGGGAGTTTCAAGTTCTATAAAGGGAAATCGGAGTTACCAATATACAGCACGACAAGGATATATAGAAGACAATCAGCTACTCACAATTTGCAAATGTCTGTGAAGTTCACAAATGAGGTCTTCTTTGTCCCAACCCTAACAACCTGTGGTGGTTTCATGACAAATTTCCTCTTCTCTCCGGCCACCATGTCTGGATTCTTCTCCCGCATAATGTTAAAAACTCTGTTTAGCAGCTAAGAAAAAGATTTAAAAAAAAAAAAAAACATAAAAGAAGGGGTGATAAAATTCATTAAAGAAAGCTATGGGATGCAGAAAATGTTGTGAAACTCCAAAAGAAGTTTCAGTGGAATTTGAAACCATTCGATAGGACGCAAAGCATTTCCTTACTTAACAAGGAGGATGCAACAAACCGTGTAAAGCAGAAAAGAGCCTTTACAAATAATTTTCATTTCATTAGATACTATATGTACAGAAACAGCTTTAGCTTAAAGCAGTTTTGGTGTATAGATCATGTCCCTTGGGTTTTGCTATACTGTGTTGCAAATGGGTATCCAGTAACATCCAGTGGTGGATCTGGTACATCATCACATACGGTCTAACTTACGGATACTTTTTTTGGATACCTTTTTAGCTGGAATACGAACTTACTCTAATTGACTTTATAAACTTTGTATATCGATTCTAGCTATTTGTTATACCCCACCCCTTAGGAGAAACTAGCCAGTTCCAACGAATTCCCAGTACATATCCTCTTTTTTCAGGACAAGACATTTTGTTACGATAGTCCTTTGTACTCATTTATATATCTACTATTTTTCCTTCTAAGCATTTTCTACATTGATTCGATTTCTCTATAAAAATCCTGCTATTTTGCAGTACACAATATTTGGATTGTATAGCCATATTTAGGATATTTTTAACTATATTGCATAAAAGTTAGATTGTAATAATCATTATTTTATTGTGCCTCACCACATTTGATTTATTATGGTTGTTGGTGGAATAAGGAGAGAGAAAAATCTAGGGATTCAAAATAAATACATTTAACTGGAAGGAAAGATCTAATCTTTTATGTCGGAGAACAAACATTTTCATGGTGAATTCAGAGCACCATAATCACTAAAGTCCATTGTAGTGCCCATTATGCCAGCATGCCCATGCCATTTTTGTGAGGGCATCCGTAGTGCAGCTACTTAACATATTGCTTATGAAGTTCCACTTCCAAATAAGCAATGATGGTTTTGACCAGATTTTGATGGCATTCATAGGTTGAGCAGGTCAGCTGACACGCAACCAATGAACACTGGTCCTTAAATCTTCTGATCAGCAATTATGAATTTTAAAGCCCCTTTGAGGAAATATTTTAGGCATTATACTTTTTTTTATGACTTAGCACTTCAATGATATTCAAGAAGTACAAGAGTAGCAAGTTCTCACCTCATCGTATGTATAGTCCCTTTCAGTGCCAGCCCATGCAGGTCCAAGTTGAGAGACGAAGGTGATGTCATAATCTTTCTTGTTTTCTTCTTCTTCAAAGGCTACAAAACATGACATTTAGAATGAATTAACAGAGATAGAGAACCTCAGGCCTTCCTCATGCTGTGGATCACATGGAAAATTTATTCTACGACATGCCAAATGGGTAGGTTTCTTAGGTGTGTGATATAGCTTCTCACAACCACTATTTTTCTTGCACAAACCACTCCGAATTATACCTTCATCTTTGTCAATGATATCATCCTCCTCAGGGAACTTCACATTCTTCTTTTTCTTTTTCTTGCCCAGCATGAAATCCAGGTCATCCTCCTGAGATTCTGAGGCCTCTTGGACTTCTGTTTCGATTTTGAGGTTCTATAAGGAGAGAATGAAGAGTTACATGCATAAACTGGAATATATCCATGAAATATTAGAAAATGCACATTTAAATATCTAGGTTAGTATTTTCACGATCAGAATGTGTGTTACAGTCGAATGAGCGCTGTTGATTTCATGTTAAAATATATATTTAAGAGTCTTACTAGTTGCCAAGGAACTCTTATGTTGAAAGAGCTACTGCCTGTCTGCGTATTTTAAGTCTCAACAACTTTTTTTTCCTGTCAGTTTAAAGGGACACTATAGGCACCCAAACCACGGAATCTCCCCTTTACCCTGCAATGTTTATATTGCAGGGCCAAGACTGCCTCTGGTGGTCGTCTACCACAGAGCTAGTAGAGGCACACCCTGCTGTTTCACAGAGTTTGACTCTACAAAACAACGCTGACGTCCTCACGCATCTTCAAATCCCCCATAGGAAAGCATTGAATCAATGTTATCCTATGGGGAAGGCCTAATACGAGCACTTGGGCTCCCCCTCTGCGCGGACGTCAGACGAGGCAAAGAAAAGGCTGGAATAAAGAGAGTGTAAAAAGGGTTATTTGCGGACAGGGAAAAGTAGGAGTGCAGAGGAACACTTAGGTGTTATAAAAACGCTTTAGTGTTACTATACAAAGCTTATTTCCAAGATGCTGAAACAGACATAACTTATTAATATGTCAAAGAATCAGATTTTTTTCACTTTATACTCAAATACAAAAAGTTGGGAAGTACTCTATCTTTATATCTTTAAGATACGCATACTGACTGTTTCTGAAAATAAATAAAGCAGATTCGGAGCACCATGATGGATCTTTCTATATCGGTGCAGAGAATTTACAATACCAAAAATCTCTTCTTACCTTAACAGCTTCCTCTGCCTCATCCAAGTCAAACTTTTTCGTCTTCTTTTTCTTCTTCTTCTGGTTGAAGAAATTCAAGTCATCCAGATCATCTGGTGCATCTTTAATAAAATATATAATAGTTATTTCCCAATGCTGATTGCATTAGCAGCTTTGCCCCTGGCTAGTGAGGCGTAGTGGAGGATTTCAAGGAATAAATGTAATCTGATGTGAAGGCTCGGAAGGGCCACTTGTTCCCAGTCTGCTAAACTAAGCAAACCTGACATACCCATCAATGAGGAACCATCTGTCTTTTTGGATAATAAAGTGCAGCCGTCATGCACAAATGACAAGTTGGCACTTCACAGCTAATAATAAAAAATTAAAATTAAAAAAAAAGTTTGATGTCCAGTTAAAGTCTGTTACGCTGTGCATCTGCAATAACCAACACTCAAACACAGACAAACGCTTCAATGTAAAATTTCCTTTTAGTAGATACAGCAATGCTTACACTGTAGGGTTAAATACGTTTCTAGTGGCTCTCTACCTGACAACCACCAGAGGCACTTCTGCTGTGAGAACCAAGTCAAACGCACTCCATGCCATGCATGCACTTTTAGGCCACAATGCTGAGGAGCTTTGCACTGAACATTTAGAAGAGTCTGTGTGACGTCACAGGAAGCAGTTCGAGCTTCAATCTCAGAAAGTGCTTCAATCTCAGAAAGAGGAAAAAAGGTAAGTAAAACTCTTCCCTGCAATTTTTCTAGGTTTAGGGGATTGGAAGAATGAATCAAAATAAAAGAGGAGAACACTGTAGTGTTACAAATCAGATTTGATTTCCTAATGCTGTGGTATTCCTTTGATCCTGGAATTGTTCTGCATAAATCAGAGTGACACACATGCAATGCATTGCTAAGATCACTAAAAAAAATGTAAGCATGTTATGTTAATAAATAAGCATTAGAAAATAATTTATAGAGTATGCAAAGGTGCACACATGATGAGTAGAACTGTAGCTGGGGAATAAAATTACTGATATCATAAACCCATGCTAGTCATCAGAACCCACAGAATAGAATTAAAGGCTCCTGATTGGTGGATCCTTTTTCTGGTGAGGGATGGTCTGCTTGAAGCAGCAGTCTAGACCGTAAAGTGTCAGGATATTGGAAGGTACATCCATTAAGTTGTGATTTAAAAAATTAGAGTAACTTTGAACTTTCATTCCCTTTAAACTTCCCATAAAAAATCATTTGGGGTACTGTGTTGCATGCTACTTATGTGTATGTGGAAAATATGTCAGTATTCTGGCCAAAAAAAAAAAACTCAGCTCACCTTTTCTTCTAAAGGTCTCCTCGTCTATATCAACATCTTTCTCCTCCTGAGGCTCCGGCTCAACCTCTTTAGTCTCTGGGACCTGAGTCTCCTCCACCTGCGGTTCACCCCCTTCTTCATCCAACATGAAAGGCTTCTTCTTCTTCTTTTTTTTCCGTGTCATGGTGGGGTCGAAAATCATCTGCAAGAAGAGGCACAGCATTCCATATTAGGTAACTGGTAACCCCACACACCCCGTGAGTAATGTTATGCATGCAAGAACATTATGTACTATATAGCCCTTTTGCCACTGAATGGGTTATTTTACAGATAGAGAAATGTTACTAGTGGCTGAAAGAAAGTGGAGCAAAAGCCTTTAAAAAAAAATTATCTAGGTTTATTCCACATGGTTTTGGTTGTTTCTGTATGCAACCATTTAAAGAAGCAACAAAATGACTGAATATGCTTACTAGTTGCCAGGGAACTCTTTATTATGTTGAAATCAACAAGGCCCCCATTAGGAGCAGCAGGCAATGGCCACCCACTCCACCCAGACAAAATGGCAGAGTCATTATTTATAAATCTGCATTTATGTGGATACAATAGAAATATGTACACACAGCAGAGTTCCTCCATTATTAGCGAGGCACACAGTTTTACTGGGGTGGGAATTAAATACTGGGCTACTGTTTATTATCATCACAATTCTAAAATGAGCAACATTCACATTCCACTGTGCTGTCCTGACAATTGTTTTTGGCATATTGGTAATTTAACACTATGAAACATACTGTGGCAAGTAAGAGGAACCGGAAGATCAGACTGAAAGCAAGCTGTCCCCTGTTTTTTATCACAGAACAGAACCATAACCACTACAGTCTGCTGTTGAATTGACGGTGACAAGAGGGCACTGTTTACCTCCTACAGTAAGCTCAGTGTTTGACAACTTACATGGGGTCTGCTGGGAACCTGCCACCTTCTCTGAAGTTTAATTTATTTTTTTTTGCACTGAGCTAAGCCTGGCAGTGCAGACAGGTGCTCATTGGCTGAGATTGCTCAGCCGACACTCTCAGCCAAGGAGTCAGTCCTACGTAGCACAGCAGAATTAAAGAAAGCTCCTTGCAGGAGCTTCTGTCTCCAGGGGAGATGGGAAAGGACCCATAGAGGTTAGAAGACTTCAGGAAAGTTGTCAAACAGTCCACAAAGATTTGGCTACTTAAAATAGAGCGAAAGGCCAATGTAAGAGCACCTCAACCACGTTATAAACCACGTTATAGTGGTTATGGTGCTTGGAGTGTTCCTTAAATTACATTGCATGATGTAGGTACAATATTTCATGGGATATTCACACAATTAATAGCAAAATAAATGTTGGGTACTAAAAACTAAAAACAAAAGTATTATTTAAAATTATTGCCTGGTTGTCTTGGCCCAACCTGAGAATGCCATGTAAATTAGTATGAACCCCGCAGTGTCATACATGCATGGCATAGAAAGATGGATAGTTTTTTTTTAATTCTACATACACTGAATTAGTCACTAAAAAAACTCTTAAAGAACCACTATAGGCACCCAGACCACTTCAGCTTAAGGTAACAGTGTCCAATGGCTGAGTTCCAGCCAACATATATATGATGTGAGAAAGCTATGTCTAGAGGCAGTCCAGTTCACCTTTGGTTTTATTTTGCTTTGTTACTCCAACCCACTGTCTAAAAATCTTATGATAGACTATATTACAGGGATATGCATGATCAAAAAATTGATCAGACCACTTCAGCTTAATGAAGTGGTCTGGGTGCCACGTCCAGCTAGGATTAACCCTTTCTTCTATAAACATAGCAGTGTCAGAGAAACTGCTATGTTTATAATAGGGTTAATCCAGCCTCTAGTGGCTGTCTCATTGACAGCCGCTAGAGGCGCTTCCACGCTTCTCACTGTGATTTTCACAGTGAGAAGATGCCAGTGTCCATTGAGAATGCTTTCCTATGGACTGACAATGCGCGGGCGGCTCCTGCCGCGCATGCGCATTCAGCTGATGACGGCGATCTGGAGGAGGAGAGTTCCCTGCTTGGCGCTGGAGAAAGAGGTAAATTTAACCCCTTCCACCTCCTAGAGCCTGGCAGGAGTGGGGGCACCCTCAGGGCACTATAGTGCCAGGAAAGAGAGTATGTTTTCCTGGCACTATAGTGGTCCTTTAAATCAGGTTTATTTAGAAGATGTAAAAGGATATTGTGACTTCCAGGAGTCTAACCATTCCACTTTAAACTTTAGCATTTGTTTCTATACGTGATTGAAGTGGTTGCTGTAAATGACAAGTGCAAGGTCAGTGCTACATGGAATAGACCCATCAAACGGATGCTGTAAGAAACTGCTCTTTACTAGATGTAATGTGAGAGAGAAGGATGCTACATGACATTTGTTTATCGCATGCTGCCAATAAGGTCTGCTTTCCATAAGACTACATTTGTTTTTCAGCAAAACACATTAAAGTAGCACGACAGGTTCTCATTAAAGTTAGTATTTAAATCAGAAAAGCAAAATAACATCTTGAGGGAATAAATGAATAGAAAAGTAAACAAATAGACAAAGTATGGGGGGCTTAAAGCAGGCTCTCACTTCTGTTTTTTTTTTTTGCATATTTAGAGAGAATCATTTGGAGTGTGGCTGTCTGGCGGCAGCTGAAAGTAGTTACCTAAAGCCGTTTCTCTTTTTTAAGCTTCTGGGTATTAGATTGCCAATAGCAGCCTCACTGCTGTACTCCCACATAGGTGTGAGAGTACAACACGAAGGTCTATGAAGCATCTCACAAGACACTCCGTAGACCAGGGTTACCGAGAAGGTAGATCCTCAGATGTTGTAGAACTAAAACTCTGATAATGCTTTACATGCATTTAGAATGACAAAGCATCATGGAAGTTGTAGTTTTAAAACACCTGGGGCTCTACCTTTTGGGCACCACAGCCGTAGACCAACTTTCTTGATGAGCAAGAACATGCCTGTTGCCAACCAAGTTGCAGCTGTGGACACTGAAAATTTGATACAGAAAGCTCAACTTTTTTGTCAGATATGGTACTGACCAGAACACAAAGCAATCCTTTGTCTTCTGATATATTTGCTTTGGAATCTCTACAAAATAGCAGAGCAGTCATTATAGGTATTTTATGAAGATTTTAACTATATGAAATAAACTAAAGTGATAAATATAAAAGAGAGCTGCTTTAATCCATTAGTGACATAACATGCCTCAACTGTTATCCATAACGTATGTTCTGGCGGCTAATAATGTACGAGACATGTCATGGTGACAAATGACCACTAGTAAGGCAATATAGTAATTAATAGATGTATGGAGGTCCCACAAGGCAGTGGTTCGTTGGCAGGATCATAAAAAATGCCAAGATATTAAGTCAATTCCACAGCTTGCCTAATTTGGCTACAGTTTAGTATTAAAACCGCAATTCACTGCTTGCCATATTTGTCCTATAGCTTGTAAAAACTTAAACGGTTACTCCAAGCACCATAACCAATTCAGTGATTTTAAGTTATCATGGTGCCTGGATTATGTATGTGCAGAGTTTTACTTTGAAACCTGTACAAACCGAGTGTAACCTCTTTGCTACAGGAGGTGTAACTCTGAAACCAGCAGTGCCATTAGTGGTCAATTATCTAGCCTGGAATAAGAGTTACAAGCTTTCTATTTGGCTACTTCTTTGAAAAGTTCAAAGCCACTCACCGACTAAGCGCCAATTATTTACTGATGTCCTCAGCCAATGAACAGCAACTAGATTGGCTTCTAGTTTCTGTAGCCAGGTACTCCTGGCATTGTTACAGTCAAATGCAAATATTACAAGTTTTAGAATGAAATGTTGTATTTCTTAAACTGTGTACTTTGTCTTTAAGAGATATTGCAAACTGACAAGGTGTTAGAAATGGAACATATTGTTTTTCATAACTGTTTCTTTAAGCAATAACCTCAGTGCATAATATGTTTGCGCCATTTTGTCCCAGACGAATTACAATAACAATAATGCATAAACAAGCTTCAAGGCTATGCTACGACTCTTGCAGTACACAATATACTGTGGTAACCCCAAGTTAATGGAACTTCCCCAGATCCAGGAATCTCCCGCGACTGTACACTTACGACTTAGTATAAACAACAGATAACCTATTCAGACCTTAAGATGCCATCTTGAACTAAGTCAGGAAAATTTCCATGATGTATACACCCTTTAGTTATGGCCTTGTATGTTTGCCAAATTAAGGCGGGTCCTAAATTGAATAAAGTAAAAGAAGTGTTACTTTTTCATATTTGAACTACAGTAACCTAAAATGGAGACACCTAAGGTATAAATAGGTGTACTTTTAAATGTTAAGATACAGAGGAGAGACTTGGAGACAGACGCTGCTCCATCTTAAAATGACAGAGAGGCTGACATGATGACATGTTAACCTATTAACCCCTTAAGGACACAGCTTCAGAAGCTTGACTTACGCTTAATGACACAAGCAATTTTTGCATTTTCTTGCTGTTTGCGTTCAACTGCAATTTGCATCTCTCTCATTTATTGCACCGACACATATTATATACTGTTTTTAAAAGGACAGAAAGGGCTTTAATTTGATATAACATATATATATATAAATGCTTACTTATTATAAAAAAAATACAGAAAAATGCAAAAAAAATGAAAAATATTGTTTTTTTTTACAGTTTTTGCAATAATAATGTGTGCATAATTAGTGCAGGTTAAGGAAAGTAATTAAAAATAAATTTATTTATTTGTTCTGATTTACAGAATATATAATGTGTCTGGGATTTTAAGTTTTTTTTGGTAGTTACAGGTCACAAAGCACAAGGAGTAAAATAAAATTTTAATGTGGAGCGATTTTAGAATTTGGTATGTTTGTCTTGTAAGCTTAATAGCCATAAAAGAAAACAAAATTGCCACACAAAAGTATATATTTATATAAAGTAGACATCACGGGCTATTTACCTAAGGTTGTTTTGACACTTTCTACGTAGCCATTTCACCGCCAACCTCTGCTAAATATTGGAGTAAAATTGTGTTCTTTTTGGTTTTTGGCACACAAACTTATAACAGAGAAATTCTCGTGTATATTTTGTAAAGTTGGTGTGTGCTATTCCTGTACAAAGTTTTATTTTGTGTTCAGTTATATCTGCTGAGTAAAATGACACCCCCATTGTATGTCTTTTGCACTATTTCGTGAAGTTACAGTGCCATACAGGATACCTGTCCTTTTCAGTATTCACAGTAGAATTTTGAGAGATGAATTTAATGAGCCTTAGCTTCCATTTGGGGTATTATAACAGTTTGACTGTTCAAAAAAACCCCACAAAGGCCTACCATTTGTAAAAGTAGACACTCCAGGGTATCTTATAAGGTGCATATTGTGCCTTAACATGCCCCCATTTTTTCACCAATATATGCCAAAGTATGTGGTAAAAAAAAATTTTGTGCATTTTTTACATACGGATTGCATTTTTGCTGGGCGTTTTGTATATTTCATATGTGCCACTAAGTTCAAACCCCCAAATTATGCTCAGCTAAGTCTTCTGAGTAAAATGACACCCCATATGAATGTCTTTGGCACTATTTCGTGAAGCTACAGTGCCATATAGGAGACCTGTCCTTTACAGTATTCACAGTAGAATTTTGAGAGACGGATTTAATGAGCCTTAGCTTCCATTTGGGGTATTATAACAGTTTGACTGTTCAAAAAACCCCCACAAAGGCCTACCATTTGTAAAAGTAGACACTCCAGGGTATCTTATAAGGTGCATATTGTGCCTTAACATGCCCCCATTTTTTCACCAATATATGCCAAAGTATGTGGTAAAAAAAAATTTTGTGCATTTTTTACATACGGATTGCATTTTTGCTGGGCGTTTTGTATATTTCATATGTGCCACTAAGTTCAAACCCCCCAAATTATGCTCAGCTAAGTCTTCTGAGTAAAATGACACCCCATATGAATATCTTTGGCACTATTTCGTGAAGCTACAGTGCCATATAGGAGACCTGTCCTTTACAGTATTCACAGTAGAATTTTGAGAGGCGGATTTAATGAGCCTTAGCTTCCATTTGGGGTATTATAACAGTTTGACTGTTCAAAAAACCCCCACAAAGGCCTACCATTTGTAAAAGTAGACACTCCAGGGTATCTCATAAGGTGCATATTGTGCCTTAACATACCCCATTTTTTCACCAATATATGCCAAAGTATGTGGTAAAAAAATTATTTTGTGCATTTTTTACATACGGATTGCATTTTTGCTGGGCGTTTTGTATATTTCATATGTGCCACTAAGTTCAAACCTCCCAAATTATGCTCAGCTAAGTCTTTTGAGTAAAAATACACCCCAATGAATGTCTTTGTCACTATTTTGTGAAGCTACAGTGCCATATAGGAGACCAAGCCATATCCGTTTTTACCAAACTTTGAATTTTGACGCTGGGCCTATGTGCAATTTCCAAGCATCTTCGCAGGTTTTAAATTCAAACTACCCCACAAAGGCCTACCATTTCTTAAAGTAGACACCCCAGGGTGTTTCAAAAGGTATAGTTTGAACCTTAGCGTGGGATCATTTTTCCGCTAGCTTGTACCAGATGTAGTGGTAATAAGCGTTTTTTCTGCCTTTTTGACATACAAAGTGAGTTTGCACAGTATATTTTGCAAACCTTATGTGTGCTACGACTGTATAATACTTCATATGTTGCTCAGCTATGTCGGCTGAGTACAGCAATACCCCCGTATGTACCTTTGCCAGGTATGTGTGGACATCGGAGGGGCACATTTGGGACACAGCCATTCCAGTTTTTTTCAAACTTTGAATTTTTATGCTGTGCCTATGTCCCATTTTAGAGTATTTTACCAGGCTATATAATCCAAATTCCCCATAAAGCCATACCATTTCTTAAAGAAGACATCCCAGGGTATTTCAAAAAGGCATATTTTGAACCTTAGCGTGGGATCATTTTTCCGCTAGCTTGTACCAAGTGTAGTGGTAATAAGCATTTTTTCTGCCTTTTTGACATACAAAGTGAGTTTGCGCAGCATATTTTGCAAACCTTATGTGTACTATGACTGTATAATACTTCATATGTTGCTCAGCTATGTCGGCTGAGTACAGCAATACCCCCGTATGTACCTTTGCCAGGTATATGTGGATGTTGAAGGGGCGCATTTGAGACGCAGCCATTCAGTTTTTTCTAACTTTGAAGTTTTACGCTGTGTCCATGTTCCAATTTGGAATAGTTTAGACGGTTGGTTATTGAAACTTCCCCACAAACACATACTATTTATTAAAGAATACACCCTGGGGTAATTCAAAAGGCATATTTTGAACCTTGGCGTGGGATAATTTTTTTTCTCTAGTTTGTTCCAGGTGTAGTGGTAATGAGCGTTTTTAAAATGTATTTTTTTACTTTTTATAACTTTTTACTTTTAAAAACTAGTTTTTAAACTTTTGTTTTGCTTATAAATTTTTTTTAAACTTTCCTAAACTTTCTTAAAACTTTTTTACAGATTTAACATTTTTCTAAGCTATTTTTTTTTACTGTTAACCCCTAACTAGCAGTACGCAGCACTAACAGTAAATTCCCCATTTTCCCATAACTCCCACCCACCCCAGCTAGCAAAATATATAGTTATAAAATATTTAAATTAATTAATTAAATAAATTGAACCCCTGAGGGTTAAAAAAATAAATAAAAGTTAATCCTCAGGGGTTAAAAAAAATTAGATCACAGTATAATACTGTGATCTCTATTTGATCGCTGTAGGCAGTGATCGACTGGCAGGGAAGGGGTTAATTTTTATTTGGACTAGGTAAAGTGTGTTTTTTTTGTTTTTTTTACTTAAATGTTATTAAAACATTTTTTTAAGCTTAATTTTTAACTTTTTAAAGTTTCTTTTAAAACTTTTTTTTAACGTTAACCCCTAGTTAGCCTAACGCCAAATCCCCCAATTCCCCACTAACTTCCACCTACCCCAGCTATCTAAATATATAATTTAAAAATAATTTAATTAATTAATTTAATTAATTTAACCCCTGAGGGTTAAAAAAAAAAAATTAACCCTCAGGGGTTAAAAAAAAAAATCAGATCATAGTAAAATGTAATCCCTGCCAATTGATCACTGTAGTCAGTGATCAATTGGCAGGGAAGGGGTTAATTTTTTATTAAAATGGGTAAGGGGGGGGGACTTTAAATTAACTTTATTTTTTTTTTTAACAGCAGGGGGCAGGATCAGCACTGATCCGGCTCCCTGCACTTCACACAGAACCCGGAAGTGCAGGGAGCCGGTAGGTAAGTATTCAGAGCACATGTGCTCGCTCCGACTTGTGGTCAGAGCGAGCACATGTGCTGGGCAGCTTGACCGGGTGCTCCCGGTATGCCTCCAATGCAGAGGCATACCGGGAGCACCATTAACCCCGCGATCGCGGCGATCCGGGGTTAATTTTACCGCGTGACGGACGAGGTCCGTCACCCGTCGTTAAGGGTCTCCCCTGTGTGACGGACCTCGTCCGTCACCCGTCCTGAAGGGGTTAATGATATTTGCAAGCATGTAATTTAATCTTAGAAACTCTGCTATAATGGATTTTATATTTTTATATAATAAATATCCAAAAAGACAAAACGATTGCTTCCAAGACAATCCTTATTTTATATTGTGTTCTCAATTATTTATATATGTTAAATAGAGGATCTCTTACACTATATAAAATTATGGTTAAGATATCTGTATGGTTAGCCCTACTAAGTTCTATGCTTTAAGACATTATAGTGGTAAATAAGGGAACCAGCCACGGTTACAGCATCATAACCACTACAGTGGGCTGTAGATGCTTGGTGTAACCCTTTAATCGAAATCCAAGACAAGGCATTTTCATTCAGGACTAATACGTTAATCTATTTTGATTTAATTTAGTCGCACCAGTTCTGTAGAAATTACATGCAAAACTGAAAACAAAATGTGTGTGTGTATGTGGGGTTTAAAAAACCATTTAAACGACCTTTGTTTCTGCTTATGCAGCCCAAGTCACACCCTGGCTGTGACTCTCACTCTGAATTTAAAAAATAAAAAAAAATAAATAAAAAAAAAATCAGTTTCATTTTCAATCAGATGTTAATAAAGGAAGTTTAAGCATTGTAAGAGATTAGGAATGCAGTGGAAGTCACATGCAGGGAGTAAAGAATAGGGTTGTATAAACAAAGTGATTTCACTCCTAAATGGTGAAACTGCATGAGCATGATCTATACAGCCTAACTGCTTTATTAAAAGGATACTATAAACGACAGGAATACAAAGCTGTTAAAAACCCTTAATTTACTTACCTGAACCCAGCGCCGATGTCCCATGGCATTGGTTTGAAGCTCCTCCTCCTTCCCACGATGAGCGGATTCAAATGCGCATGCGCGGCATTAAGTCAATGCTTTCCTATGGGGTGAAAAATCTGACACTGGAGGTCCTCGTGAGGACATCCAGCGTCAGATACTGGCCCAAAAGTCAGTTTCAAACCAGGAAGCCCTGTAGTGGCTTAAACTAAAGTTGTTTTGGCGACTATAATGTCCTTTGTATAATTGTAAAGAACTGCAGAATATTCTGGTGATCTATAAAGGCTAATAATTAAAAAATGCACACCCGAAGCCAACACAGACTAAGGTTCATTCATTGGTCAGCTTCCAGTCCAAGGACTATCAGCATCAACAGATGTACTTCTGGCTCTCAATGGGTAATTAATAAAAGTGTGAATTGTCTGCAATTCAAAGTGAATATCACATTTAATACAAAATAACTGGGGGGGGGAGAGAAACCCTGCCGGGGGGCGGAGCCTAGCAGACATGCTGAGCGGTCGCATATCAAAAGAGCTCTGTGCTCTGAGCTCAGTTTCGTGACCCGGAGAAGGGAGTCTCATACTGCGGCGACAAGCAACAGGTCTCCCGAAAGAAATTAGCGGCTTCCTCACGGGGATAGACCTGAGGCCTACTCAGACAGTGCAAGGGAGGCGGCCGATCCCTGCGCTGACTGCAGCCCACTCTCCTAGAGGTCTCCCCGGCACACTCTCCCCCCACCCGCCGGTGAGTGATATGCCGGCAACCAAAGCAACAATAGTGCCTGACCTGCACTACCGGAACAGCACTGAAAATCATGGCGGGTGCAACCCCCTGAACAGCTCCCCGCTACCCTCTCACTCAAGGAAATGCCTGGTCGCCTGTTCACAGCCTTCTGGGCCAAAATCTATCACCATGGGGGCACCACCAGCAATAATCCCAGGTGATGCCGTGAAGCAACCCGCGGATCCTGAACGGGGCTATGGCACGGCTTGGATGGCGGGGAGGAGGATGCAGGCAACCCAACAAAAGCCTCTGCGCTGCAGACCAAGACCAACGGTGAGTCGCCCTACCTCCCCAGCAGGGACTACTCCATCACAGCTTCGCCACCCTCCGGAAGATCAATACTCATGTGGGGAAACCACGCAGAATAGAAGCCGACGGGACCCAAAGCGAAACTCTGCCGCAAACCCACATCGCTCCGGGGAACTCCTACCCAAGGGACTGAACTACCTCACACGACCACATCGGCACCCAGAGGCTTGAAACCCCTTGCTGAACAGCAGTACTGGGGGTGCCCACAGTAGACATCGGCTGACCGACTAAGGCAAGCAACGTAAGGACCCATGACCTCACTGCATTCCCGCGCACAGCTCCCACAAAGAGAACTGAGCAAATGTTATCGTCCTGGTGCTCCATCACCTCATGTTGCCTGATTAAACGTGGTTAATAGTATAATATAATTTAGCCTGATTCTCCCATGATATTCTGTTTAAGGCTGATGTGTTAATCTTTTACTTTCATGTTATTTTTATAATCTACCACTCAGACCACCTCTCCTTGTTACCCCATAGATACGCTAACCAGCTGTGTGCTAGAGCTGGTATCTCTGCGGCAATTCGTAACGCTAAGCTGGCTAATGTCTAAGCGGTAGTCCCTACTAAACCAGGAACTCAACCGCAGATAAATAAGGAGACAATAGATAATTTAATTACCAATTTAGACTATACCTAGCAGTGTAACTTAACTATAATATATGTATGCTCAGCTGCGAACAAAAGAGGAGAGATTAAAGCTATTAGTCTGTTTCCCCATGTACAACACTCATCTAGTCTCGTAAACCTCACTCACATAGTCAGCCGGTATAGCCTGATTTTTTTTTTATCATTTGTTGTGTTGGCACACCACTGACTATCACCTTGTTTTCTCTTGCTAAACCTTATACAAAAAAAATGCACCTACTTTTTATGCCACAACTGTTATACTTTGTCTATTTCGATACATGCTACTGCTGTTGGGGCATGGCATGATTGCTTGTTATATTAACTCATGCACAAAAAAATAAAGAATAATAATTAAAAAAAAAAAACCTACCTGAATTTAAAGGACCACTATAGTGCCAGGAAAACACTTGTTTTCCTGGCTCTATAGGGTCCTTGGGTCCCACTCCTGCCGGGCTCTAGGGGGAGGAAGGGGTTAAATTCCTACTTTTTTTCCAGCGCCATGCTCCCTCAGCGCTGGGGACTCTCCTCCTCCCGACATCATCTGCGCGCTCAGCCAGTCTCATAGGAAAGCATTTTGAATGCTTTTCTATGGAAGCGTCTTTTCACGGTGAAAATCACAGTGAGAAGCGTGGAAGCGCCTGTCAATGAGACAGCCACTAGAGGCTGGATTAACCCATATGTAAACATAGCAGTTTCTCTTTCTCTGAAACTGCTATGTTTACAGCATTCAGGGTTAAACCTAGATGGACCTGGCACCCAGAGCACTTTATTAAGCTGAAGTTGTCTGGGTGCCTATAGTGGTCCTTTAACAATGAGTTTTTACTGTTAAGCTGCTTTAACCTAATATACGATATTCACGTTGAATTCCACACCAGACAAATCACTATTTAGGGCAGCGATGCAGAGAAGGTAGATCCCCAAATGTTTTAAAACTACAGCTTCCAAGGTGCTTTATAATTCGAAAGGCATTTTGAGGGCATGCAAAGCATTGTGGGAGTTGTAGTTCAACATGTGAGGATCTATCTTTGGGGCATATCTGCTTTGGGGGTTCATTTGCTAAACTTTCAATTGTTTAAAATCAGTTCAATTATCGACTTTCAGTTTAAAACAGCTAATCTGATAAAATCCTCTAACAAGGCTATAGTCACAGCTTGGCTCTTGTAACCTGAATCCTACTATCCCGATTTTAAATTGTTTAGTGGACAAATCCATTTAACGAATAGCTCTGCTCAGCTCCTAAAAGTATTTAAACCAAGCAAATTTAGACACAGAAAGAAAATGGACTATCTTGCAGGAGTCTCCATTCTTTCGGAACAGCCTGCCTAACCCCATCAGACTCTCCCCTAGTCTTTAATCATTTACAAAAGTCCCTTAATCCACCTCTTCAGAAAAGCTTGTGGCCTCCCATAGTAACTCATTTCACAAAGCTATCTCTCGCTCTCTTAAAGGGTCACACTCCACTCTCATCGGCCAATTCCGGCTACTTTCCCACCTTGTCCTTTGGTCGCTATCCCCCTTTACACCCCCACCTCCTCTAGACTGTGAACTCGTGTGAGCAGAGTCATGGCTGGGGTGAAGGGATGGCTGGGCCATGGCTGGGGTGAAGGGATGGCTGGGCCATGGCTGGGGTGAAGGGATGGCTGGGCCATGGCTGGGGTGAAGGGATGGCTGATGGCTAGGGAGGGATGGCTGATGGCTAGGGAGGGATGGCTGGGCCATGGCTGGGGTGAAGGGATGGCTGATGGCTAGGGAGGGATGGCTGATGGCTAGGGAGGGATGGCTGATGGCTAGGGAGGGATGGCTGATGGCTAGGGAGGGATGGCTGATGAATGGGGAGGGATGGCTGATGAATGGGGAGGGATGGCTGATGTCTGTGGAAGGATGGCTGGGGTGAAGGGATGGCTGGGCCATGGCTGGGGTGAAGGGATGGCTGGGCCATGGCTGGGGTGAAGGGATGGCTGATGTCTGTGGAGGGATGGCTGATGGCTAGGGAGGGATGGCTGATGGCTAGGGAGGGATGGCTGATGTCTGTGGAAGGATGGCTGGGGAGGGATGGCCGGGCAGGAATGGCTGATGAATGGGGAGGGATGGCTGTGGAGCCTGGCTGATGGCTGGGCCCATGGCTTCCCACTCCCAGGCCTGACATCCCCCCCCCAGCCTGCAGCCCCTGTGCCTCCCGTGTCCCCCCGAGCGGCCCCCCAGGCCCCGGCCTGTTCTCAGGGAAAGCATGGCGCAGGCCGGGCCCTCTCCCAGCCACATGTGCCGGGCTGTGTGCGGCTCTCCCGCCGCCTGCTCTCACCTCGTCCCCGGACATGTTGTCGTCTATCGGTGGAATCTTTGCTGCCCGGCTCCTGCTCCGCTCAGCGCGTCCCTCCTGCTCTCAGCCCGGTCCGGTATCTCCGCTTCGCCCGGTTGGTCTCCTCTTACATCAGCTTCAGGCGCTTCCACAGCGGCGCATGCGTAGTGTGCAGTGTGCCGCGTCACACAGAGAGCGACCGTGCTATACCGCGCCTGGCTTTCCAAACACCCGAGACCCAGCGCGGTGTCGCTCACGCAGACGCCATATTAGTAGAGGCAGGTGGTCTGCCCCTAGGAATGGACCATGCTTCGAAACATTCATTGAAAAAATTTTTTTCTCTCTATTCATAATATCTCTAGACTCTACAGATTAAAATTTACAAATGCAATACCAAGCTAGCACAGATGGAAAACAACTGATTTGGAAAATGTTTTAATCCTAAAATGTAAAATTTACTTTCAATGTTGTTTACTAATATGTGGATTGGTCAGTCATTGAAAGTGAATTAAAATTGTATACACCATTTCAAGTCCAACTATCTACACTCAATACATAGCTGATTTGGATAATTTTATGAATCCGTTATTGTAGTCTTAAATAATACATTTACTCCTTACGATTTATAATTTGGTAAATAATCCTGTCCTGAGGTGTTTGAAACCAGTGAGGACATGGGCAAGCTCGCAGGGGATTGAGCTGTATTATTATTATTATTATGTTATTATTTATATAGCGCCAACAAATTCCGCAGCGCTTTACAGTGGGTCACTGGTGACTTCATAAGAGAAGACATGCCGTGCCTCCTAAAAAGGCTTTTTCTGAGAGTTTGGCATGAATCCATGCCTGGCTAACTGGCTCTCATACAAGGCGGCCTCACTCGGGGTAGTTTGCTTAGCACTAGCGCGTCTATTTTTGTGCTCCTACTATCCACTCTGTGAACGTGAACAAGAAAACTAAAAGCAGAACAGGACAGTGTGTTCAGGACCATCCTGCCCAAAGACGAACAGTTGGAAAGAAAGCATAACTATACCATGTGTGATAAACATGAATACAGAAAATATTATTTACAAAACTCGCCCAAGTAGGCGCAACGCATCCAGGGATCTTTAGTTTAAAAATCTTCCAATTCTTGATTTTTTTATTTTCATTAATGTGTTTTAAAACGAGACTAATCATTGAAACTTGGTTAAAATCTAGAGGGAGAAATTGGTAAATTTAGTGTTGTTTACTGTGTGGTATATAGAGTAGTAATTGCAGTCCTGTGCTATTGGTGCCAAAATGTGCAGTACTACTGACAGAAAGTGATGGCGTGCATATCAGTGACAAGTGCGGATACACTAATAGGAACTGTACTACTAATGTTTGAAAAGTGACGGAATCCTCATACGCGGCGTGAAAATAGTTAGCAAATATCCATCCACCAAAGCAGAGATAAAAATGAAAAGTAATTGAAGTGGCAGATGATCTATCAAATATTACCCTCCAACATGCATGAATAGGTTGGGTTGAGCACAGATTACAAGCCCCCACACCACTAGCATAATCTAGGTAAAATTGACACCACCTCTGTTGTGTCTAATCCAGGGGGTTTTGCTTACAGCTGCCGCGTTTCTTACAAATTGCTGCATATCAAAGCTTTAAGGGACACTTTAAACGCAATAATAACTTAATCTGAATGTAATAGTTTTATTGCATAGATATTGTCATTTTGGGGGGACAGTGTAAAAGCTTACATGTTTACATTTGTCCAAAACCATGCCTTTTACTGGCTTCCCATTGAGAAAAATGCCTCAAGGTAAGACATGGCCCAGGAAAGTACATATTTCATAAAATATTTATTATATAAACGTTCTCAGCCATCACCACTGAGCTAAGTAGGTCCATGCAAGGCCGCAATCACTGGCTTAGAGTGTCAGCTAAGCATTCTCAGCCAATCAGAGTATATGTTCTGTTACCTAAATGTCTTGTCGCCATTAAGCTAAGTATTTAAACCATTTTAAAATCAATTGACAAATTATTCTGTGAGAGCGTCAGGGCATTCCTGGCACAATAACCACTGTAGCAAGCTATTTATAAAGTTTGGAGTGTTCCTTTACCGTGACAACAGTAAGCATTCTAGCAGGTAAGCTCATTTGAGCAGTGACCTCAACCTCCTCTGTTCCTGTGCGCCCAACTCGTCTGGTTACAAATACTTGTCTATCTGTAGTTGTCCCATTGTACAGCGCTGCGGAATTTGTTGGCGCTTCATAAATAATAGTCATAATTTAAAGAGATATAGAAGAGCTAAACAATTTTATGAGTCTGATGTTAACTTTTCATCATATTCTACCCAAAAGTAATTATTGGCTTTAATGTTTGTTCAGGGCCTGCACTTCCTATAGGCGACCTAGGCAGAGCCTATAGATAGCCTCAAGTGGCTGCAGCACTGCCCGAACCAGCGCATCCATGAGGGCACACTGGCCCAGGAGCGCAAGAAAAGAGGGATCGGCAGGAGGGAAGCGCACAGCGCTCCCTCCTGTCGGTCCCTCTGTTGTAGCGTGGTTGAGATCCGTCTCCTGTACCCGGCCGGACTGACAGGAAGTGCTCACTCAGCCGGGTAAGGAAACAGAAGCTCCTGTACCGCGGACTGGTTGGAGCTCAGCCACGCAGGCCACACTGGGGTGGGGGGAGAGAGATAAGAGAGGGGGGACAAGAGAGGAAGGGGGGAAGAGAGATGAGGGGGGGATAGAGTGATACAAGAGATGGGGAAGAGACACAAGAGAGAGGGAGGGGAAGAGACACCATGGAGGGAGGGAGAGAGACACCACACACATATGGGGAGAGAGAGACACTGTGGGGAGAGAGAGACACCATGGAGGGAGGGCAGAGAGGAGCACCATGGAGGGAGGGAGAGAGAGGGAAGCACCATGGAGGGGAAGGAGGGAGAGAGGAGCACCATGGAGGGAGGTAAGAGAAGAGCGATGAAGGGAGGGGATAGAGAGACCAGGAGGAGGGGGAGAGACCATAAAGGAGGAAGGGGAGGAGACAAAGGGGGTTGGAGAGAGAGATTATGGAGGGAGGGAAGAGAACACCATGAAGGGAGGGAGTGGGGAGAGAGACCATGAGAAGGGAGGGAGGTGGGAGAGACAGAGGGCGGGGGAGAGATTATAAAAGGGAGGAGGGAGAAGCATATAATGAAGGAGAGAAAAGACAAAGGGGGGAGAGAGACTATGAAAGTAGGGTGGGAGTGAAAAGACCACTAAAGGAGGTGGGGGAGTAGGGGTCCACTATGGGGGGATGGAGGTGGGGTGAGGAGAGACCATTCATGGAAAGGGGGTGGGGGAGAAGAGGAGAGACCACTAAGGGAGTGGTGGGAGGAGAGACCACTAATGAGGTGGGAGAGAGAGGAGAGACCACTAAGGGACAGGGGAGGAGAGACACTAAGGGACAGGGGAGAGATCTAAGGGATGGAAGGGAGAGCTCTAAGGGACAGGGGGTAGGAGAGAGCTCTAAGGGACAGGAGGGGAGAACTCTAAAACACAGGAGGGGAGAGCACTACAGAATATGGGGCAGGGGATCACTTTGGTGGGGAGGGGGGCATGAGAGAGGAGAGACCAATAAGGGATGGGGGAGAAGAGACCAATAACGGACAGGGGAGAGCTCTAAGGGATTGGGGGCAGGGGAGAGCAATAAGCAGGGGTCAAGTCCTGGGGAAAAAAGTGTGGGAACTCACCCGAGATTCCTCCTATGCATATAGTGCAGTGCAGGGTGTGTATAATGAATGTAGTGTGTTTGTAGTGAATGCAGAGTATGAATAATAAATGTAGTGTGTTTGTAGTGAGTGCTGTGTGAATAATAATTGTAGTGTATTTGTAGTGAGTGCAGAGTGTGTATAATGAATGCAGTGTGTTTTTAGTGAGTGCAGAGTGTATAATAAATGTAGTGTGTTTGTATTGAGTGCAGTGTGTATAATGAATGTAGTGTGTTTGTAGTGAGTGCAGAGTGTGTATAATGAATGTAGTGTGTTTGTAGTGAGTGCAGAGTGTGTACAATGAATGCAGTGTATGTAGTGTGTTTGTAGTGAATGCAGAGTGTGTATAGTGAATGTAGTGTGTAGTGAGTGGAGAATGTGTATAGTGAATGCAGAGGGTGTATAGTGAATGTAGTGTGTTTGTAGTAAGTGCAAATTGTGTATAATGAATTTAGTGTGTTTGTAGTGAGTGCAGAGTGTGTACAATGAATGCAGTGTATGTAGTGTGTTTGTAGTGATTCAGAGTGTGTATAGTGAATGTAGTGTGTAGTGAGTGCAGAATGTGTATAGTGAATGCAGAGGGTGTATAGTGAATGTAGTGTGTTTGTAGTGAGTGTATAGTGAATGTAGCGTGTTTGTAGTGAGTGAAGAGTGTGTATAATGAATACAGTGTGTGCGTGTGCTGGATGATGTGTGTGTGTGCGCTGGATGATGTGTGTGAGTGCTGGATGATGTGTGTGTGCTGGATGATGTGTGTGAGTGCTGGATGATGTGTGTGTGAGTGCTGGATGATGTGTGTGTGAGTGCTGGATGTTGTGTGTGTGAGTGCTGGATGATGGGTGTTTGTGTGAGTGGTGGATGATGGGTGTGTGAGTGGTGGATGATGGGTGTGTGAGTGATGGCTGATGTGTGTGTGAGTGATGGCTGATGTGTGTGTGAGTGATGGATGATGTGTGTGTGTGCTGTGGATGATGTGTGTGTGGTGGGTGCTGGATGATGTGTGTGTGTGAGAGTGCTGGATGATGGGTGTGTGAGTGCTGGATGATGGGTGTGTGTGTGCTGGATGATGGGTGTGTGAGTGCTGGATGATGGGTGTGTGAGTGCTGGATGATGGGTGTGTGTGTGCTGGATGATGGGTGTGTGTGTGCTGGATGATGGGTGTGTGAGTGCTGGATGATGGGTGTGTGAGTGCTGGATTGTGGGTGTGTGAGTGCTGGATGATGGGTGTGTGAGTGCTGGATTGTGTGTGTGTGTGCTGGATGATGGGTGTGTGAGTGCTGGATGATGGGTGTGTGAGTGCTGGATGATGTGAGTGTGTGTGCTGGATGATGTGTGTGTGTGTGCTGGATGATAGGTGTGTGTGTGCTGGATGATGGGTGTGTGAGTGCTGGATGATGGGTGTGTGTGTGCTGGATGATGGGTGTGTGTGTGTGTGCTGGATGATGGGTGTGTGTGTGTGTGCTGGATGATGGGTGTGTGAGTGCTGGATGATGGGTGTGTGTGTGCTGGATGATGGGTGTGTGAGTGCTGGATGATGGGTGTGTGAGTGCTGGATGATGGGTGTGTGTGTGCTGGATGATGGGTGTGTGTGTGCTGGATGATGGGTGTGTGAGTGCTGGATGATGGGTGTGTGAGTGCTGGATTGTGGGTGTGTGAGTGCTGGATGATGGGTGTGTGAGTGCTGGATTGTGTGTGTGTGTGCTGGATGATGGGTGTGTGAGTGCTGGATGATGGGTGTGTGAGTGCTGGATGATGTGAGTGTGTGTGCTGGATGATGTGTGTGTGTGTGCTGGATGATGTGTGAGTGTGTGTGCTGGATGATGGGTGTGTGTGTGCTGCATGATGTGTGAGTGTGTGTGTGCTGGATGATGGGTGTGTGTGTGCTGGATGGTGGGTGTAGTAGTGTGCTGGATGATGTGTGTGTGTGCGGATGATGTGTGTGTGTGCTGGATGATGTGTGTGTGTGTGCTGGATGGTGTGTGTGTGTGCCGGATGATGTGTGTGTGAGTGCTGGATGATGTGTGTGTGTGACGGATGATGTGTGTGTGTGCCGGATGATGTGTGTGTGTGTGCCGGATGATGTGTATGTGAGTGCTGGATGATGTGTGTGTGTGTGAGTGCTGGATGATGTGTGTGAGTGCCGGATGATGTGTGTGTGTCTGCCGGTGGAGGGAGCCAGCCGCTGCACAGAGGAGCCATCTACCTGCACAGAGGGGCCATCACACGCTGTGTTCCCTCTCCAGCTCTAACTCTCGCGAGACTCGCCTGTGCGGAGCGTTGCCATGGTAACAGCCGCGGGTCTCGCGAGAGTTATAGCTGGAGAGAGAACACAGCGTGTGATGGCCCCTCTGTGCAGGTAGCAGGGCCAGTCCTGCAGGACAGGTAACGGGAACTGCGTTCCTGCTTTGGAAAAAGTGCAGGAACGCCGTTCCCATGCGTTCCTGCAGGACTCGAGCCCTGGCAATAAGGAACAGTGGGGAAGGATACAGCAGTAAGGGACAGAATGGGAGAGCACTAAGGGAAAGAGGGCAGGGAGATCACTAAGGGACAGTGGGGCAGGGGAGAGCAATAAGGGACAGTGGGGCAAGATACAGCAGTAAGGGACAGGATGGGAGAGCACTAAGGGAAAGAGGGCAGGGAGATCACTAAGGGACAGGGGAGATCACTAAGGGACAGTGGGGCAGGGGAGAGCAATAAGGGACAGTGGGGCAAGATACAGCAGTAAGGGACATGATGGGAGAGCACTAAGGGAAAGAGGGCAGGGAGATCACTAAGGGACAGGGGAGATCACTAAGGGACAGTGGGGCAGGGGAGAACAATAAGGGACAGTGGGGCAAGTTACAGCAGTAAGGGACGGGGTGGGAGAGCACTAAGGGAAAGAGGGCAGGGAGATCACTAAGGGACAGGGGAGATCACTAAGGGATAGTGGATAAGGGGAGAGCACTAAGGGACAGGAGGGAGGGGAGAGCTCTAAGGGACAAGAGGGAAAGAGAAGCAAAATAGGACTGGTAGGACTCAGCCCCTATCCTACTCCACAAACTCTCTATTCCACACTACACACACAAAGCATCCCTGTACATAAACAGAAACACACAATGCATCCCTACACACACAGAAACACACCATACTTCCCTTACACACAGAGAAACGCACAATGCATCCATTACACACACAATGCACCCCCTGCACACATACACAGAAACACACAATGCATCCCTTACACACCCTGCATTCCTTACACACACTCAATGCACCCCTTAAACACATTTAATGCACCCTTACATACACAGAAACACACCTTACATCCCTTACACATACAAACACACATTCACACAATGCATCCCTCACACACATACACAAACACACAATACATCCCTTATACACAAACACACACTGCTTTCTATCCCTTACACACACACACTGCATCACCTACACAAACTGGTATCACTACATTCCATAAGCACACACATTAGATCCTCTACAATAACGTCCCCTACACACTCCACTCCCTGTGAGCAAACTCATGGGTGGAACATGTAGGTGGACTTATGGGTGGTCCTTATGGGCATACTCACCGTCAGGCCCTGGGGGGGGAGGGGTCAGACCTTGAGCTGTGTAAAGGGCCCCATAAATGGAGCTGCTTCCTGTTCTCCCAGAATATTGAATTTTGTGACCACAGTTACACACAGCCTCCAGGGATCATGGTCTACACCAGACCAGTGGAGCCAGACTGCAACCAGAGCCTATCATCATCCGCATCTGGTTGTAAGTATGCAATCTAGTATATTATTCGTGGCACTAATATCTAATTAACCTCACATTAAAAGGACACTATAGTCCCCAGAACCACTGCAGCTTAATGTAGTGCTTCTGGTGTCTATAGCCTGTCTCTGCAGGCCTTTTAATGTAAACACATGACTGCTGACCCATACCAGTCCCCGCAACCGTTTCCCCCCAATAAAACACATGATACATTATTATAGTGGATAAGGGCAACGGCCACATCTTTATTTAACATAACCAGTTTTAAAACACTGTCCAACTCTATCAGCTGTTGGGTGGTTGCCCAACAGACAGTTCTCTCAAATTGTGTTCCATAAGTCTCAACAGCTGGCTACTTGCCATCAGCTCCGTGCAGGCTGTCGTCTCCCCAAAGTGCCTTTTCCAGCTGCGCTGTCCAGGAAAAACCTGCCAAGCTGTGACAACACAAAAAACAAAACAAGACACAAGCCACACCACCAGAAACAGGTTGGGAGGGTGGGAAAACAGTCAGGTGCCCTCAACTGATCCTGCCGACTGGTAAGTCCCTCCCTCTCCCCTTTCTTAAGAACCCCAACTTTGATACAAATGTTGCTTTATTTACCCAGCCCACAATCTTGGGCAGCAGTCATGCTCCCCCTTCCTTTGTGTTCCAGGGGGAAACTTGACTGCTGACCCATACCAGTCCCCCCAACCATTGCCCCCCAATAAAACACATGACACATTGTTATAGTGGATAAGGGCAACGGCCACAGCTTTATTTATCATTTTTTAATACACTGTCCAACTCTGTCAGCTGTTGGGTGATTGCCTAACAGACAGTTCTCCCAAATTGTGTTCCATGAGTCTCAACAGCCAGCTACTCGCCATCAACTCCATGCAGGCTGTCGTCTCTCCAAAGTGCCTTTTCCAGCTGCGCTGTCCAGGAAGAACCTGCCACCACGATGCCCGCCTTGCACACTATGCTGCACGGGCATCGCGCCCCCTCGCTGACAGGGCAGCCTCAATCCCCGCCTGCAGGCCCACATTAAATGTCCAAACCTATGGGGGACAAATGAACCCCATCCTGTCTCATCACGTTGTCATTCACCCCTTCCAGCTCAAAGTGCCCAACCACTATGCCACCCAAATGGCGGACAAACCGGGAAATAGTCATGTTGACTTTACGCCTATAGCGCTCCAAAGCCTTTCCATGCCCACCACTACGCCAAACCGGACGAGTGTCAGATCCTTAAACAACGCAAAACAGCGGGCCAGATTGTGCCGAATCGCATGTACCAGGTCCACTGAACGTCGTCGTCCGAAATCGTTCCCACCCGCATGAACCACCAGGGTCACCGGCCCTGACACGCAGCGACTGAGCTGCACTAACTTGGCATATAACCCGTCCCAAGATAAACCCCGAATGCCCCTCCAACGCACCTGGGCTACATCGTATGAAAACCCGAGGTTACAGCCATATGGTCTATTCTCAGCCCGCCTAGCTGCCCAATAAATGAACGAGTGTCCCACGATCCATACAAAGCGAGGAGCCACATCTAAAACGATAATAGAACATATAACCATGCATTAGCTGAGCCGCTGCCCTACAGCAAGTGGGGGCGCACATAAAGTTGAAAGTGTCCAGACTGCCAGCGCCCCAAACGCTTAAACTCCTCCGCGGGGAGGCCCACCAGACTTGCCTGCATGGCAGCCCCTATTCTAAAGGAGTGAGTAGTGTAACAACCCGGGGACAGACCAATCCCCACAATGCAAGACCGAAGCACTCTAGCAAATTGAAAACGGCTGAGGGACGACCAATCCCGATGACGTAACAAGGAACCAACCACGAACCTCGGACCCCCAGGAACTCCCGTAGTAACCGCACCGGACAGAATGGACCGCCTGTGGCACTTACCCGAACCCGAGCACCTGCTCCTCCCTGATCAGTCTTGGACCTACGAATGATCAACAACATGTTGCTCACCATAACTCTGACATCCGTCAGTAGCATGGCAGCCGTAGCCCGAGTACTAAGCGCCACTAACTCCCCTATTCAGAGAGCCCCAAAGAAACAGAGGGCGAATGCGGCCGGAAACAGACAAACCTTGTATTCCGAGGAACAAACCTGGGGCAAAAATTCTAAGAGTCTCCACAAGATCCCGTAGGAAATAGGATGCCGAGAGTCAGGCCTATGGCCTTTCTTCCAGCCCTTCATGACACATGAGACACGAAACGCCTTGGTAACATCCTGCCACCCGCACCACAGAAACTACAGGACCACCAAATGTCTCTCAGCCACCGCGGCCGACTTACCCGCAGTGCAATCCAGTGAATCCAATAAGGCCAGCGTCGCTGACAACCTACCTGTGTCCAAGGAAGTGTCCCTGGTAGCACGGAACTCCCTCCACCTCCGCCACACTGCTGAATATGACCTCCACAACGACCCCCTCACTAACCGACTCAAATGTTGGAAACCAGGTCCCATACGCCCGCTGGGCACGAGGTTCCAGTTCGCACTGCCTCCAGAGCCGCCACTCGAAATCGATCCCACTGAAACCGAGAAAGAGTCGGCTATAACATTTTGCTCCCCGGGTACATGCTGCGCAGCTAGCCACAAATCATGCGATAAACTAAGCAAGACTAGGTGCCTGAGGAGCACCAACACCGGAGGGGACGCAGACGTGGAGCAGTTGATCACATGAACCACGCTCATGTTGTCCATGTGCACAACTACCTTCCAATTAGCCATTTCTCCACCCCACAGCTCAACTGCCACTACTATAGGGAATAGT